ATATATACACACTGATCACTGCTTCAGAGAGTAAACAAAACCCAGCACACCGCTCTGGGCAAGTAGATATTATTTCAGATTTCCCATGCATGAGATTTCCATCAATTCAACAAATGTTCCTTGAAAATATACTGTGTGCTAATGGAGCTGACACTTGTGGAGCCATAAACATGAAAAGAACATGACGTGGTTCTTATCCACCAGTATTAGTTCACTGAGAAAACAAGAAGCAAAGATTTCAAACAAGAAAGTAAAAAAATATCAGGCAGCACATGAGAAGTGTCAAAATTGGGGAAATAGTGTGTCCTAGGGAGGGCTCAAAGAGGACAGACTTCAGTGTTTCCCACTGCACAGAGAAGGTGCCTTTAGGTGGGAGAGGGTTAAATAGCTGCTGCTCCACCCAAGGGGGCTCCATCATACTGGAAGATTTGCTTCATTTCATTGCAAGACAAGTCAGACCCCCTTGGTTAGCCCAGTTGTCTGTTGCCCAAAGTACAGAAAGGAGCAACTTTGGAGTTGCCAGGTGTGTGGGACAGAGCCCAGAGTGAGGTTAGTTCTGACTTTGCTGTGTGACTCAGCCCAAGCCACTTCCTCTCTCTCTCTCTATGTCTGTTCTCCTACTAATAAGGATGTCCAACGTCATTGTTCAGATTAGCTACCAGTGATGGGAAAAGCACAGTGTAATTAGTCCCGATGTAATTCTGGGGAACAGAAGGGATCCACAGCCATCTGCCAATTGTTATAAGTAAAATATGTGCTGACTGCCTCAGACTAAGCATTTTCTTCCCAGGAGGAGAGTGAGCTGAGAGCCTGAGGCTGGGCCTTGCCCTTTTCAGGGGCACTGCCCAATGTGAAAGCTCTACAGATCCTTGCAGATCTTGTCTAGTCTTAGGAGGAAAAATGTGTTCAAATATTCATTAGGAGTGAACTGTCTAAGATTTAGGCAGTACTGGGAAATGGTTAGAGTCCGGACTTGGGATTTTTAATTGTGCTAAAATATACATAACAAAATTTTCCATTTAAACTACTTTTAGGTGGCATTAACTACATTCACATTATTGCACAACCCTTCATCCCTAGAATTTTTTTCATCTTACAAAATCAAAATAGCACACGTAATTCCTAATTCCCCTTTTCCCCAAGCCCCTGGCAACCACCATTGTATCTTCTGTCTCTTATCAACTGGACTGTTCTAAGGATTCACACAAGTGGATTCATATGACATTTGTCTTTTTATGACTGACTTCCTTTAGCATAATGTCCTCAAGATTCATCCATGTTGTGGCATGTGTCAGAATTTTCTTCCTTTTTAAGGCCTACTGTTATTCTATTGTATATTTATACCACATTTTTATTTGTTCGTCCATTAGTGAACACTTAAGTTTGCTTCACCTTTTGTCTATTGTGAATAGTGCTACTAATAAACATGAGTACACACAAATGTTTCTTGGAGGCCTGGATTCAATTCTTTGAGGTATATACCCAGAAGTGGAATCGCTGGCTCATATGGTACTGTTACCAGGTACTCAGGTCTGTTTGCTTGCTGTCCTCCAAAGAAACCACACAAACCACGGAAGGAAAAAAGCTTTATTCAAAGATAGCTACCAGGAGATAGAGGGACCTGACATGGTCACAAATCTGTGCAAGGGCCTTTTACAGTAAGGAAAAGAGGAGAAGGAGTACAGTGAGACAGCAGACAGCTCCAGGCTTCATGTAT